CTCTGTCTCAAAAAAAAAAAAAAAAGTATTACATTATCTATTTCTGTAAGAAAGGGTATTGGGATTTTGATAGAGATGGCAGCAAATCCGTAGAGCTTTGGCATATGTCCCTCATTTTACACTTGTGGATTCAGAATATTTTCTATCACTGTAATCCATACTTTGAAATTTATAAATATTCTAATATATGTGGTTTTAATAATCATGCAACAAGTGGTATTTTATTTCTAAAATTTTTATACTTTATTAATTTAAAACATATTTACCACTATTTTCTAACATGTTCTGTCTTTCTTGAAGAATGCATAAAGTACAGAGTACAAAGAAAATCTATCAAGACTGGTTCAACAGCCTTTGGTTATGAAAGTGTCAAGGAGTGGCTGATGATCAGTTTTGATTAATGAGAAGAGAGAAGCGAAGAAGAATGAATGAGGTACTACATGTGTGAGTCAACCTAGGATAACGAGTTCCTATTTTTTTTCATGTAAGCCACTCACTTAGTTTCCTTATTTTGATACTGTGAAATATATGAAGACTTTGAATTTGTATGATTCTTGAAAACTTTATAAAAAGAAGAAAAAATTGCTCGTTAAAAGAGGAATCATATTTAAATTAAAAATATATACTATTACAAAGAATGTAGCATGTTCAATAATGGGTCATGTAAAAAAAATCTGTCTGTCATAATTTATGTATCAAAAAGATGAGGGTTTTGAGGCTCTTGGTATTCTTTCCTTCATCACCAATTGCTAGCTGACAACACTGGTACTTTGAAAATACCCTTAAGTTGCCTAGTTTCTTTAAGGAAAAGTCCATTTGGGGTTCTTTGCACCACTATCTTAACTTCAGACTCAATTTCAGACTCAATTTTGTCATGCACCTTTCTGCTGGTAAATCTTAAGAAAAAGGTAACCCAGAATCACAGGATGATTATGTGTTCTGTTTTTAAAGGCAGGTTTTGTGTGTCCAGGTCACATTTCAAAGCACCAGACTGTGTAGTCCATTTGAAGGTTATGAATTCCTCTATAAATAGATATCTGAGGAATGTAGCTTGTTTTTTGTTTTTGCTTATCATGATTGTTCCTTTGAAGTTTCTATAAAGATATGCAAAAAAATCAGAAAAGGAGGCTGTTTCAGGAGAAAAGTCACTGTTATTCCAAAACCATTTTATTTATGCATTAAAATTGTCCACTTTATATTATTCTTTTTCAAGCAGAGTAATATAAATGCTCAATCTTTCTGAAAGAAAATACACATACTCTATGAAAATAAAATATTCATATATTTAAACTATGATCTTTTATGTAAGAGGAAAAACATAAATGTTGATATATATGAAAATATAACTCATTAAAAATAAGCATTTATTTTTCAAAGAACTAGACAACGTAATAGATTCAGCTAAAGTAGGGATTTAATCCTTTTAAACAATAGGTCTGGAAATTTTTTATTTCATGGAGATGTGTAAAGGACTTAACAAGAAAGATGCAAATATGTCTATGGAAATTATGCAATTTATATTTCATCGAAAGCTTATGGATAAAAACAAATGTAATGCCTATTGTTAAAAAATCATGTATTTGCAGCTGACCATGTCTCTATTTCAAGGTCATAAATATTTACTAAAGAGAGAATCAATCTCTAATCAAAATAAATTATAATTCAAGGATGAGATAATACCATGTTCAGGACTTAACAATCAGAAATCAGAGAAAGGAGCCATCACTGAAGTCCTTGTAGACTAACTTACATTCCTTCTTATTGGTACCCGCCAGACAAAGAATTTATTGCCTAAAATTACTTTTTTTAAATAGCAGGTTAGCTTAAGACTTAAAGTTTTTCTTTTTAATTCTCTCAAAGAATTCCAGGTTAGTCAATTCATAAAAGATTTCACTCAGAGCTGAAGAGTCATGGGAGGCAGAAAAAGAACAAGAAATGGGTCGGGAGACAGAAGTAGGAGTTGGGTGGCACAGGATCCCATACATAGTGCTGCCATCATCTGTAGGGCAATGGGTGGCCATTGACACAGGATGCCAGGAGTCTCTCTCATTCTTATTAGAAGATGATGACTTAGATCAAGATGATTTTCTCTGTGGCCAAATATGCCTAACTAGGAAATTTGTATAGCAAAAAAGGTATTAGTGAATTAATTAAACAAATACTTATTAGGTTACTTCTACATACTAGATCTCATGGGGATTACAAAAACAAAACATATAGACACTAATTCTGATGGAGCCTTTGCAAAGGTCAATAGCTATACCATGAGCGGTACTCGGAAAGAAGCATACATGTTGCATAATGGGGACGCAGGGGACAGATATATTTATTTTACATTGTTAGAAAATGAAAAAAACCTGGATGTATATTTTTTCCCTAGACATATGAAGCTTACAGAAGTCATTTAGAAATACTTCTAGTGTTTTAGTACATGAAATCTTCAGAAGGTGTACAATACTTTTCTTACTTAGGACCAGTATT